GGAAGTCCCAATGGAGCCACGTAGTAGACAAAGCCAAAAGAATGGCTACAGGGAAAGGGAGATATCTCTCACCGGCAGGAAGACTGACACTTATCAAATCGGTCCTCTCGGGGATCCCAATATTCCAAATGTCTCTCTTCCATCTACCGGCCTCTACTTGGGAGCGCCTTGAACAGTTGATGCGCAACTTCCTCTGTTCAGACGACGACACCAACAAAAAATTCCACCTCGTGGCTTGAAAAACGTGTGTCGGCCTCTACTCGGGAGCGCCTTGAACAGTTGATGCGCTACTTCCTCTGTCCAGGCGATGACACCAACAAGAAATTCCACCTCGTGGCTTGAAACAAGTGTGCATGTCTAAACTAAGTGGGAGGGCTTTCTATCTGTAACCTCAAGTTCACTAATTTGGCCCTTCTCTGCAAATGGTGGTGGAGGTTGGCCACCCAAGGAGATCAGTTGTGGCACCGAATCTTAACCCACAAATATCGCCTTGCTTCTTTTAACTGGTCCATCCCCTTGGCTTGCCCAAATGATCTCAGGTTTCTGGAGGTCCATCTTCATTCTATTCAATTCTTCAAGTCCTTTACCCGTTTTCACCCCAGGGATGGACCCAAAGTTAGATTCTGGCTAGACATTTTGATAAGCAATTCACCTCTTGCTACCCAATTCCCCTCTATCTTTTGTTTAACCTCTCATCCCTCAGCCTCCATCCTGGATCTCTTTCCTACCTCGGCCTCTCCAAGAACTTGGAACCCAGACCTCCGTAGACCCTTCGAGACGACAAACTCCCCGCCTTTCTCTCCCTCTCTGCTCTTCCCCTCCCCCCTTCCCTAGGGGAGATGACCAAATCATCTGGACTCTGGCCCCCTCAAGGTCCTTTTCGGTTTCCTCCATCTACCGCTCTCTTATTTCAACCCTTTACGGGACTGTTGCTTGCCACCCTGCCACCCCCAAAGCTTGGTGCACCCTCATCCCACCCAGAAATCAGGTTTTTAAATGGCTGGCCTGTTGGGGGAGAGTCCTAACAGTCAACCAGCTGCAGAGGATAGGTTTTCCCCTACCGAATAGGTGCTTCTCCGGGCTGAGGAAACTAATGCACATCTCTTTATTCACTGCCCCTTAGCTGCTTCCATTTGGTGGGAC